TTAAGTTTCTGCTGCCTTTTGTTCAGCTATGTCCTGCTCCCAGAGGTGGAGCCTACAGAGTCAGGCAGGCCTCCTGGAGCTGTGGTGGGCTCCACTCAGTTTGAGCTTCCTGGCCACTTTGTTTACCTACTTAAGCCTCAGCAATGTCAGATGCCCCTTCCCCATTCTCACTGCCGCCTTGCAGTTTGATCTCAGACTGCTGTACTGGCAGTGAGCGAGGTTCTGTGGGTGTGGGATCCTCCAAGACAGACACGGGATATAATCTTCTGGTGTGCAGTTTGCTAAGACTGTTGGGAAAGTGCAGTATTAAGGTGGGAGTGTCCCGATTTTCCAGGTACCCTCTGTCACGGCTTCCCTTGGCTAGGAAAGGGAATTCCCCAACCCCTTTCACTTCTTGGGTGAGGCAATGCCCTGCCCTGCTTCAGCTCACACTCCATGGGCTGCACCCACTATCCGACAAGCTCCATTGAGATGAACCCAGTACCTCAGTTGGAAATGCAGAAATCACACGTCTTCTGCGTCGCTAACGCTGGGAGCTGTAGACTGGAGCTGTTCCTATTCGGCCATCTTGGAACCAGACCTCAGATAAAATAGATATCTTTCATTTTCAAAAGGTTGTAAGTTTATTGAGTTCCATTTGATGTTATTTATCTTTGATTTTGCCAGAGTCCAATATCATACCTTACCCATAGTAAGTGAACAAGATTTTTGAAGTATATTATGCTTTTGTTCACTTAGTGATTGGTTGAATTTCCTCTCAGCAGGAGAAAAGCAAACAGTGAACTATGAAGCGCTACCACTAGATTCTGATTCCCTGAGTTTACTCTCTCTGTCGCTATTTGCTTGCATGCGGCATTTACTTTTGAAAATTGGAGTAGAGATCTAGGATTAGATAAAGACTTCTAAATTACTACATCTGTAATTATTCAAACTAACTTATGTATCAGACTCTGTTCATAAACCATTCCAGATCTGCTCCAGCTGTTTTCTTCCTTGGCCCTAGCAGCTTCTTCATAGGAGACATTGGGCCACTGTCCTTATTGTCTTATCTTCTCTCACTGCTGGCACTCAGCCCTTTCCAAGTGAGAGGACATCAGTAGGAAGTCTAACCACACTGAACTCACTGGCTTTTTATTTTTTTAACCACTTCTGAGCCCTGATGAATTGACCCAACACGGGGAATAAAAAAATGGGATTCTCAAATATGTGTTCAAAGATACCAGATAATAGCAACTGCAAATGTACTTGAAGGATAAGACTACTGCCTCTCGGAGTAAGATATGAAGATAGGAAGGAACTGACAGATATGCTTTCCTTTCTTCTCTGTGATGGACTGTTCCAAAAAACAACAATTTCATATAAACTGACTGGAAGAAGCCATATATGCTTGAGGAGGCAGCTGCATTTTCTTGTGATACTCTCGCCAGCTTAGGGATTCAGCACCTTGTATTTGCTTTCTATCCTCTACCTCAGCATGTATGTTTTTCAGACTGTGTTTCCCAGGGAACATAGTCTAAAAGAATTTCAATATGTAGTGGTTCTTATCAGTTGAGCTTCATGATTTTTTTATTTTTTTATTTTTTTATTTTTTGAGACGGAGTCTTGCTCTGTCACCCAGGCTGGAGTGGAGCTTCATTAAATTTATAAAGAGGTTAGTGACCAGTCATAATTCAGAGACCCTTTTGTGTTTCCCTATAATCCTTATAAGATATAAAGTGAATTTTACATTTGAAGCTTGCTTAAAATAAAGGTAAACATATTCTTAACAACTGTTTTATGTGTTCCATTTGGGCCTCAGTTTCTTTTTATTTAACTGAGTATAAATAGGTAAGCATTTTTTATAATTCATAATTGAATTATGAAGTTTATCTCAGATGCCTCTAGATAATTAAAATGAGTAATTCATGGCATCACTATTTTAATCCTCTTGAAAATTTTAAAACGTTGCTTGAAGCATGAATGACAAGGCCTATTGAAATAAGTTATCTCTTGTGAATCATACTGTTTTTGTTTTCAACACATAACCCCTCAGTTCATAACTTATTCATATGAGGATCTTGCAAAACAGCTGATAGCGATGCTAAGGGAGGTGGGAGTGGGGTTATCTTATTACATCTTGCACAATCTCTAACACCTTCCATTTGTTTGATACTTTTCACATTATGTAAAATACCCTTTTACTCAAGCTTCAGTGTTTACCTTCTAACCAGAGTACTTGTAGTTCACTCCCCTGCAGAAATTCTTGAGCAGCCACTAGCAAAAAGCTTAACCTCCAAATCCCATTTATCTAATTTGAACAATTAGAAGTGTATTTTATTTACATGGTGGCTATAAGAGTTAGAGATAAAGATGGTTTGTAGCCTGTACAGCATAGAGATGTTTATACTATTATTTTATAAGGTTCTTGGTTCCTCTAAGTTTTTTATTTTACCATTCCAGTGTCATCTCATTTACTCTCAAGGCTTCAATTACCTATTGTATGCTAGAGATTTCCAAATATATCTCTAAGACATCTCCACTTAACAACCCACAGAAATCTCAAAGAGTTTATCAAAGATGAATTAAGTACATTTTTATTTATCCTGCCCTTTCTGTCCTTTATCTTTCTACATTTTGCTCAAGTCAAAAACCTGGGTTTCAACCTTGTCTCATCTCTCCCTTGTCAGCTATGTATAATCAATCAACAAGTTTTGTAACTGCATGTCATAAATAGTTCTCAAATATGTCCCATTTATCTTCATCCCTGTGGCTTTTATTATATTTCATGCCATCATGCGTCAACCCAAATATTGTAACATGCTCCCAAATTTTCCCCACAGGAATTAAACTGATCCTCTTAAACACAGGTATGTATCACCTCCTTACAGAAAACTACGTTGCAATTAATGGAAAAATCTTACATAGTGCTTAACATATGCTAGGTGCTGTTCTAAGTTCCTTAAATGTCATAATTCATTTAGCTCTCATGATAAATTATGAAACAGTTTCCTCCCC